AAAAAAATGGTATCTTTCATAGGTTTCAAAAAACGTCTGTGACCGCATACCCTACCCCAGAAGCTCAAAAGCAAATGAAAATTGGGAGTGTACTTGAAGTAATTCCAAAATTTCTGCCCGATTCAAAGATCTTCCAAGTTAAGATGTTCTGACTTTTCTCGTAACAGACATTTTTAAACTATTCAAATTTTGCTAGCTTAAACGAGTTTTATCTATAACTGAGACAACATGATGTGTAAGAAGGCAAATGAGATGAAAGCCAATCTGGGAAGCTTTCAAATTTCCTTCCTCACCGCCTTTTGATTAGTAATACTCCCAAGTAAGGACAGACAGACAAATCTGGTTGCTAGATTGATTAGCCATATTTCAAAGATTTTATCGTGGCCAAAAGGAGCCACTATTTTGGCCGTCCTCTGTGCGTGAATATCTTCTAATACTTGCTTGATTTTGCTTGAGGTGGAAGGGCTAAATGAATGACTACTGCTTGCTCGTGCTTTTCTCTAACATTTAGAGTACAATGCCCTAAATATTTAAGTTGAAAGATCTTCGCTGTCTACCGCCTTTCACCGATCTTCAAATAGCATTTTGTAGGGCTGGCTTTGGCTTAGGTTCAGGTACTCAGCGAATCACTAATTGCTTTCCGTCATTGTGGATTTGTAGGGTCTTTGAAGAGGAATTTGCAACAGCGAGGATGAATTGCTCAAAAAATTCCAAAAAGTCAAAATCTTGATTTTATTTAAATCTTATTCAACGCACATTACAGACTGCTGCTCATCAGTCACTTCAAGCCCAAACACCCAAATACGGTATCCCCCAAATTAGCCAAAAATGTTATAGTATTATCTAAATTGCTTTACGAACTTGCGCGAAGTTTGATCTGTTATCAGCGCCTTTAGAAACTCCACTAGAAAAGGTTTCAGGTGTTCCGCAAATTTTCTGTGCTTGCAGTTTGCAAGCACGCCATTGTGTTGGAAGCTCCTACAGTAATCCTACAGTAGCGATGAGCCTCGGTACTGCTCTTTAGATCTAAATTGACGCGCTTTGGGATTGGTGCCTAATCGGTGGAAAATGTCAGTATGAGAGAGATATCTTGAGTCAAACATCACTGACATTTTGGGGCATTGTTTTGGATACAGCAGTCGTCGCTATCGTAGATTGTTGTTGCTTGTAAAATAGCTAAGGGAATCTTTGTTCTTTGAAGATAAATGGGAATGAAAGCCTCTCCGTATTTCAGATGACTCCGTCCACTTCCATCGATGAGGAATCGAACACTGTAAGCAAGAATCTTCTCAACAATAACAATATCGAATTTTCTGAGTTGAACGTGAAAACAGAGAACGATATGGTGTTGAGTGGACCGGAGTCCGGTATTGCGTCTGGTGAAGAGGTGTGTCATCCCTACTTTTTATGTTCATCGCTCACTAATTGTTGCATGGAGAGTCTTATTCGATATTCTAGGTGACTGAAACTGACTCGTCACCAGCTCAAAGTTCTAAAGAAGGTAGCCCTATCACACATGAGAATGACATCGCCCCACCATCCAATGTAAGCTTTCTTTTCTACATTTGAAAGAGTGAAAAACAAGCAGAATGATCTTCTGCAAGTTCCAAATATACTAGGGGCTGCTACGATCTCTATGGGTTATTGGTGTTTGATTCGTATTTTTCGTACTGTCACGCTCATCAGCTTTTTCGGTTAAAGTAAAGACACAGTGCAGGAACTGATAAATGCTTGCATTTTTCTCATACACGCCCACAAGCTTCTGAGACGTTACTTTTTTGTAAGCGTTTAAATAGTAAAATTCACCTTTGGGTGGGTTTATGAGAGAGAAGAAGTATATGAGATAAGGTCCAGCTCGCTAAAACCATAAATAACCAGTCATTTGAAAAAGTTATTTATGGATCTAACATGCACGAGCTTTGACGGTCGTACGACAATGCGACTGCGATGCCTCTGAGTCGTAAAAAGGTTGGGCAAGCGAGAGTATACATCTGAGCTATACAAAATATCAAATGTGCAGTCCACTATTGTGCAGTTTGGAAATCGGTTGGCTGACTGAATAGGTGAAGAAAAAAGGGATCAAAAACGGGAAAAAATAAATTCAAATAATTCAAATTTCAAGTCATCAAAACTCGAAAATTTCTTTACATTTTTTTATTAACGGTTCTATTCTCGCGGAGGAATTTTGGCAGTAACATAATCATCGAATTTTTTCTCGATGTTGGCTTGCTTCTTGTTACGCAATTAAGCACTTTGTAAATTAAAAAATTCATCAAGAGTGCTTTCTGTTTCAAAA